CTACTACTACTACTACTACTACTAAAATGAAACAAATATAATTTAAGGAATAATCACACAAAACATTTCTTCCATGTTTTAATATTTCAATAGTTGACTTTTGTGACTTGATACACAAACACAAAAATTGACTTTTGTGTGTGTGTAGTTTTTGTTTTTGTTGTTATTGTTTGATTGTCTTTTTGTCTTTAGAAAAACAGTAATGTGGAGGGAAACACAATTATTTTCCCATGTAAAGAGGATCTAATGTCCTACAAGATCTTAGTCAGCACTCTGGTCACCGCTGGCAGGTGAAGGGCTTCATCTTCTACAAATACAATGAACTCACTCTCTCCCACATACACATCATAGCAGTCAAAAGATAAAGAGTGTACTGTATGTGTGTGTTGGTAGGCTGGTCAGTGGGGGTTTTCCTATAGGTCATTTTTCTCACATCTTTGTGGATGAGGCAGGACATGCTGTGGAGCCAGAGGCCATCATCAGTGTGGCAGGTGGAGTGCTTCACAGAATAACATGAAAACCGTCAGATCTTTCATTTAAGATCAATCTGTGATAGCATTTCATTCATGTGTGTTTAGGACTGCTGAATGCAGAGACTGGACAGCTTGTTTTGGCTGGAGATCCCAAGCAACTGGGGCCAATCCTGAGATCTCCTTTTGCCATTAGATACGGACTTGGTGAGATGACTAATAACACACATACAATACACACTCGATTCACTTTGTAATTTACATTGTAAATGTGTTTGTAGGTCTTTCCTTGCTGGAGAGGCTGATGACACAGAATGAACTTTACCAGAAAGGTACTACTGGATACGACAACCGTTATGTAACCAAGCTGTTGCGGAACTACAGGTAAAATCTGAATAATCTGCAAAACTACAAATTGACTTGTGGTCTGACCAGCTTGTTGACTAGTTGCTCTTTAAGAAGCCCTGAACAATAAGCTCTGAATAGGGTCCAACTGAGGAAAAAAAATTGCTTGATGGAGTACGAAGTCCTCAAGTCTGAACAAAACTATTTTGAACTTGTCAGGGTAAAATTTCTGACACATGTAAAGAAAGTTTTCGCGATGTATAGAGGATGATCAAAAATTCTTAGACCTTTGTGTGGAGGGAGTGCAGATGGTTAAGAATGAGGAACAAATAGCAGCTAGAGCCATTTGTCTTTTTGATTTGTAGTTTTGACTTGTAGCCAGGAGCCAGTAAGAGTAGGAAAGATAGGGGCACAGGCCAGTATAAAGAAGTAAACAAATAACCTTCAACATAGATTTGACTCCTGGCCATGAATGAACATGGGAACCAGAGGAAGCTGGTTTGTCTATGGGTTTTTTCTGTGCAGAGGACAGGATGCCATGTGAAAAGTTTGGGAATGGGCCAATCTGTGTAAAATAGATTGGGATAGGTCCAATCCGAATTAATGTGGGATTTCTACCACAAAACTGACACAAATGCTTCTTTCTTCCATACTTTGTATGTAAATTTAAAGTGAGTCTGAATCCGTTTCAGCACCACTGATTCACATGTCTCTAATTCACACTTTTCTTTCTCTATCTCGCCAGGTCTCATCCATCCATTTTGAAGATTCCTAATGAGATGTTCTATGATGGGGAGTTGGTGGCATGTGCAGATGAGATGATCTCCCACCAGTACTGCATGTGGGAGCACCTGCCAAAAAGTGTATGAGACATCCCAGACACACACACACACACACCTGATATGTAAATGTAAACAGCAGTTCAGGAATGTCAAGACAATGCATTTTGGTTAGGTTAGGTTATGATGTTATACAGCTGCTATATGCACCCAGGATGACACATCATTGGGAATGTGCTGATATTGTTTAGTCTCTGGGTGTGTTCCATACCTAGTGAGCTGACTCACTCACTCATGTCTCATTGGCAACTACTTTCTAATGCAGCATCTTCTTAAGTCACTCAAATGTTTAAGGCAGAAGACTTGGGGTTCAGGCTTGGGAACATGTCAAATTTAATCAAAATAATTTATAGAGTCTCTTGTGAAAGTTGTGTAATGAATCAGAGAAAACTTAAAGTTGCATTTTTGTAATCAGATTTGACATTAGCCACTGAAATCTGGTTGCTGGCGTACATGTTTTTTTTATATAGTCGATTAGAGGATATGGTAATGTCCCAATACCCACATGTGCAGTGTAGCGCTTGAACATTTGTCTGTGTATTTGCATGACATATTTCCTGTAATTGGCTCAAGTGTTCAAGCAGGCATGTAGACCGCAAGTGTGTGTAGAACTTTTGACTCTTCTTTTGACTGTTTTACTGAATTTAGTAACTGCAATGCTTCTAATTAAGTGGTAAAAAGCAGTTGCAAATGTTTGAAAAAAAAACACATACTCATCTCTAAAACAATAAAATGTTCACCACTTCACATTTTATTACCAAATTAAGCGACAGCTGAAAACTATAAGAAAAGAACCTTTGCTTTCTCTTTCCTTAATCCCCCCATCTAGCATGTACTAATCTGAACGATGCCTGAAACTTCGTATTAACAGCACTTCCTGTGTTTATTTGCCTCTTTATGATGAATCGCTTGTTGTATTCCTCAATTGAATATGTTGGGATACACATAGCAGGGTTTCTGCAGTCCTTAAAAAAAATCTTACATTTGGTTTGCTAAAATTTAAGACCGTAAAGAGTCTTAAACAGTATAACAAAAGTGTTAAGTATTTAAAGAAGTCTTAAATTTGGGTCGCTGTGATATGGATATGTGATTATTAAACATCAAAAGGCTGATTCAATTAAATAAATGTGCACACTGCACATTTCAAAATAATGAATACGATTGCTTATGATGCACCATTGATAAACTGACAATGTTTACATTATGGGTTTTATATTATTTTGTAGATGGTTGTGTGTCTCGTCTTTTTGAATGAGCAGCTGGAAGTAGTAAAGCATAGACATTACAAAATAAGAATGATTTATTTTGATATTGTTTTGTTTTCTGTACCGGAATGTATTCATTTTATTTGTGCAGGTCTTAAAAAAGGTCTCAAAGCCTTAAATCTGATTTCGAAAACCTGCTTATCTTCAAATACCGCTCCCATTCACTTTTAAACATTGTCCACCTCCTCCTCAAGGGGTATCCGGTCACACATGCCCGCACACACACAAATCATCAGTGTAAGGAATGTAAAGGCCAGAAACTGAGATAACTGCCTTTTTGAACTTGGTTGTAGTTCATGGTTACATTTGGTGCTTAGGAATGTGACATTTTTCATTAACCAGTCTCCACTTGTTCTTTGTAATGATGATGTTACTGTTTATATCTAGAAAGTTCAACTCAAAGACCTCTTTTTGAATGTGTTGTAGTTTTGCACTGATAATTATAGTATGATTGGTTTCCCTTTGAACATTTTGTAGCTTCTGGAGATGTCACATTGTGCTCTGCTCTGTGCTGCATTTTCAGGGATTTCCTGTGATTTTTCATGGAGTGATTGGAAAGGATGAGAGAGAGTCAAACAGTCCCTCCTTTTTCAACACTTCTGAAATCGATATCATAATTGACTACATGAAGAAGCTCCTGACACAGGCAAAGAAGGGCATTGCAAAAATCTCCCCCAAAGAGATTGGCATTATCGCCCCCTACAGGAAACAGGTGAAAATACCTTTTTAACGGCTCGGCCACAGCAAAGGTGATGCATAATGTGCAAGCACAATGCAGTTAGTACCAAGTAAATCCTAAAGAAACTTTGTTTGCAGAGATACACCACCATTAAAAAATTTGGGGTTGGTAAGATTTGTTTGAAAGAAGTATCTTATACTACAGTAAAAACAACTTAAAATAACTGTTCATTTTCTATTTTAAAATAAAAATGTATATTCTAAAATGTAATGATGGCAAAGCTGAATTTTCAGCATCCATTACTCCAGTCTTCCTTCAGAAATTATTCTAATATGCTGATTTGCTGCTTAAGTCACAGTTGAAAACGGTTGTGCCGCTTAATATTTTTGTAAAGAACATGAGGCTTTTTTCAAGATTCTTTGAGGAATAGAAGGTTCAAATGTATGCATTTGAAATATTTTGTTACATGATAAATGTCTTACCGTCTTAACTGTACTTTTGATCAATTTAATGGGTCCTTTCTGAATAAATTCAATGAAATGAAAATATCAATATCTTACAAAAAAGTACTAATGCCAAACTTTTGAACGGTAGTGTAAATACATAAGTCTACTTATGGACAGTCAGAAATATCTACACACATTTTCTACTGGTTGTTCTCCACACAACCGTTCACATAGACTGCTGGCTGTTATTCAAGCAAGCTAAACTTTGTTTTTATGCAGATCATCATTATCATTCTCTTTAAGGTGATTTTTTTTCTTCTCATGATTGTTCACTCTGCCTTTATTTTTTTATTGTACATATCTGTTTTATTTTTATAGGTGGAGAAGATCAGGAAGGCCATCAAGATGCACAGGGAGCTTAAATCCTGTTCGGGCATTGAGGAGCTGAAGGTCAGCATGAGTCTGTGCCGTGCGGACACTCCTACACTCTGTTATCAGTTCTTATCCTTGTCAGGACACGTGAGCAAAAACATGACTGCTGTACGTGTTGTGTAGGTTGGTTCTGTGGAGGAGTTTCAAGGCCAGGAGAGGAAAGTGATCATTGTGTCAACTGTTCGCAGTGACAAGAAACACATAATTTTGGATGAAACATTCAGCATTGGGTTTCTGAAGAATGAGAAGGTAGTGTTTAACACATGACAATACACCACACAGAAGTCTACAAAACAAAGTTGTTTCACCTCTTGCTTTCTTTTCTCCAGAGATTCAATGTGGCAGTGACGAGAGCAAAATCCCTGCTCATCATGGTGGGAAACCCCATCATTCTACAGACAGACGCAACCTGGGGCAGGTATATAAACTTCCAACTAACACATGCATAAAATATATAAAATACTCTTTATATAATTTCAGGACATGGTGTGAGTTGATATTGCAAGCCGATTTTTTTTTTTACCTTGTTGATCTATGTGTTTGTAGATTTATTCATTACTGCATTGAGAAGGGAGGTTATACTGGATATGATATTTCCAATTTGGAGGAAACAGAGGCGGTTGTTGAGCGCCTGCTCGCTCTAAACATCCATGAGGAGACCATAGGTAAGGCATGGCTTTAATAAAAGTACAGTCACACTAGACTTTGTGCTTCATTTGCTTCCATTAATGCGGAATAGGAAATGCAAGCTTAAGGTAGTTAAGGTAGTTGCTGAAGTTCAAATGTAGTGAACGCTGATCTGCAAATTTGCATAAAGAAATATATATGAAAACTTTGAATATACTTTATTCATAATTGATTATTTAATAAAAGTGGCCCAAGAGCGTGACATCACATCCTGTTTCCCATGTTTGTTTGGTGTGAGCCTAGAGTGACGACCGCACATTCATAATTAATCATTTACTGACAGGTTATACAAATACACTACCATTTAAAAGTTTGGGGTGAGTGTTTTTTAGTTTTTTTTAAGAAATTTATATTTTTATTTAATCCAAATGAATTTGTTCAAAAGAGACAGTAGATATATTTATGTTACAGAAGTTTTCTGTTTCAAATAAATGCTGTTCTTTTGAGCTTTCTATTCATCAAAGTATTCTGAAAAAAAAATGTATCCGGGTTTCTACAAAATTATTAAGCAGCACAACTGTTTTCAAAATGGATAATAATAAGAAATTTTTCTTGTGCACCAAATCAGCATATTAGGATGATTTCTGAAGGATCACATGATACTGAAGACTGGAGTGTTGACTCTCAGCTTTGCAATCACAGGAATAATTAAATTTTTCAACTGTTATTTTAAATGGTAATATTATTTTACAATATTACTGTTTTTATGGTATTTTGATCAAATAAATTCAGCCTTAGTGAGCATAAGAGACTTTTCTCAAAAAAATCTTACCGACCCCAAACTCTTAAACGGTAGTGTATTTCGACCTACACAACGGTACACCTGTTCCCTTTCGAACGGTCTCTCCCGTTGCGTTGACACTCTTATGGGGAAACTCCTGTTTACACTGATACTGAAGCCTGATTTGTTTACGTTCGCGTAGCTGCACGAACCAATGGCGCTTCATCCCGCAAAAAAGGGAGGACCGACCTCTATATAAGTCGTCTCTGAGCACCATATCGTCAGAATTTTGCTCCTTCAGTGGCAAAGATCATCTCCTCGCTGACTCTGCAAGCAAGAAGCCAAAGAAGGAAGAAGCTGTGAGCGGCTTAATTTCCTTCGGTGCATCTGAGGAGGAAGCCGCCTTTGATGACTCCATGTCATGGCTTTGGATGCTGAAGAGTGGGCGTGTTCCGGCGAAGAGTCTGAAACCCCGCCTCTGACTCAGACAACACGGCCCAGCGTGGACAGTTAGCTGATCCACATTCTATCTAAGGCTGTGGAGGACGAGTGACGAGTGCTACCTAAAAGGGCGCCATCAACATTCCTCCCACCAATGGCCCGCTCCTTTCCTGCCGGCAGTTCATGAGGAACTCACCAGGACATGGCACGCCCTGAGCGGTTTACAGCGGCACAGAAGTCATCTCAAGCAATGCGTCACTTCCTGCCAAAGCACTTCAATGCTCCAACCTGGGCTTCAGCAGCGCCCCCAGATGGCGAAACGCTACCCTTTTCCAAAACGCCATGGTCCCCGACCCAGAATGGCATTGGACCCTGAACCTCAGAAGCTGTCCTGATCCAAACGCAGAGAGGAAGAAGAGAGGGTCAGTTCTTGCCGAGGCCAGAACTCCCTCAAAGAAAGCTTACACTCGCTCTCCATCTCTCCACTTAACATTGAGCGATGGAAGCTCCATTCAACCTGGGCCCATCCTTCTCATTCAGTGTGCACCCAAGCAAAATACTGCTGTGATAGCGGACCCACATACTCAAAAGAGCATTTCTCCTCTCCTCATTACCACGAATGTCAGTTCCTCGCCCCCTTACGGCACACTTCTATTCAAAAAACTATAATCACTTGCTATCTGGCTTCAGGCTTGGAAAGCTATCCCAAATGTGTCAAGTTGGGTTCTAAAAACCATAGAACAAGGTTACTCACTCCAGTTCGCTCACAGGCCACCTCACTTCAGAGATGTTATTCAAACTTCGGTACAGGACAACTTTTTTGTTGTCTTTTTTTTTTTACGAGACAGCGAGATGCCCTGGCCCACGATTAGCCCAGTGCTCGCCTATACGCCTTCTCCCCGGTTGCCCTGCTTCCTCAGGTCATCAGACGGTTCAGGGAAGTCAGATGCTCGGTTCTTCTGGTGGCCCCACTCTGGAGGAATCCGATGTGGCTCCCCGAGTTGATTCAGCTGCTATCGGCAGCCCCCTGGCTGATAACACTGAGGGAGGACCTTCTCTTGCAAGCGAAGGGCATAATTTGGCAACGGGAGTGACTGGTCGAAAGGTAATGCTCCGGTTACTAACGTAACCTTGCTGCCCAGAGATAAGGGAATGAGCGTTGTGTAGGATGCAGTGCTATAAGGCTGCGCGTGAATCGATGACTGTCGCTTCAGTCGAAAGATTCTGATGAAATGGTGCTCTGAGCCGACTTATGTAGAGGTCGGCTCCTCCCCTTTTGGTGGGTTGAAGCGCCATTGGTTTGTGCACAAATCAGGCTTCAGTATCAGAGTAAACAGAGTTTCCTCATAAGCGTTTGAAAGCAACGCTCGTTCCCTTATCTCAGGGAACCATGGTTATGTTAGTAACCATAATGTTTTGTTTATATTGGCACTTTTTAAGGACAATTTCTGTGCTTTTTTTTCTTTGGGATTTAAAATAAATCATAAACCAAGTGCTAACTGTCATGTTCTTTCTCATCCTAGTGAAAACAGAGGAGAGTGTGGTCCAGCAATATCTGAATCCTGAGTGGAGACATGACCATTAAATGAAGTGCTATTGTTAAAGCGCCTCCTAGTCAGGCCACTCTCATTAGCATAAACACACCCCTTTTCCCTTCCACTTAGAATGGGAAAGTCTTAATGAACTTAGAAGTTTAATTTTAAATCTAAAGCTGCACTATGATATATAAACATTGTATTAAACTAAAGGAGTAAGTTTTTTGGAAATCAGTGCTACATGACTAGAGAAAACAGAAAAAGAGCTGGTTGAAAATCTACAAACTATTCTCAGGGCTTTGCATGCAATGTTGCCTATATTGAATGAAAAGATTTTATAAGATATTTGAAAGAAAATGCATTAATCTGTACCACAGACATTATGAAACACATGGTTGATAATTAATTGATTACTGCCCTGAAATAAGTGCCTTATTTTATAAAATTATCAAGCAACCCAGGAATGTTAATTTAATAATGCTTATTCATGGTGGTAATGGTTTTGTTTGTTTTCCCACTGGTTTGTTTAGAAATTGCTAATGGAGTTGGAGGTTTACATCAGTGCATTGTCAATCACATCATTTTTAAAAAGTGTACTTAATTTCAAAGACTTTTGGCTGAAGTAAATACAATATTGTAAAATGAAGGATGTTAAATCACAAGTCAATGCAAAATTTGGATTAAGGAATTAGTTACAGGGCTGCGCAGAGACGTTTGGAGAGGCAGGTGCTCAAAGTATAAAAGGGGCACATGGAACAAGGCTTTAAATTGGGCTGTGCTCAAAATATCAATACAGCAAAATACTGTGGCACATTCCTTGCTGATACGCGTATCGATACGGATGCTTCTATATTGATACAGCAGCAAATGCTGTGACGCAGCATTTCCACAAAGCATTCTTGGGAGTTTTGCTAAAAATTTGAGGGAATTTTTACATCATGTATTTTTAAGGCTTTCAACTGGCTGTTAACTCAGGATATGAATTATTACGGTATGTTTCTAAAGAATAGTGGGAAATCATGAGATAAAGAAAGAATTTTTTTTGCACCTCAACTCTGGAATTAGAAACTGGATTGTATGATATTATTATTGTTGTTGTTGTTGTTATATTATTATTATTATGAGTTTACAGGGCATGGTGGTTTTAGTGTTGTAAACACTACTGTTGGTGTTGTAGGGGAAAAAAATCTGTCATAGATAAAATAGAATTCTATTCTAATCTTGTTCTGAATTTATTCTTTTTTTTAGGATAATGATAATAAAAACAGGATTGAAAAGTATAATTCAGAGGATGAGAAACTCAGTATAGGTTAAGCCTGTTTTACCAGTGTTGTGATAATTATTTTTAAGGCACTCTACGTTTTTAAAACAAATACTGTAATATAGTTCAAAATAGACCCCTCGACGCCCGTTAAAGTTTTCTCAATCAAACAGCAAGGACAAAGAGATCAGGCACGTTTATTTATATTGCTGTTTATAGAAATACGTTAGCTACATTTTTTATATTTAATAAATATTTAATTTTAATAAAATGTAAATTATTCCCCCGCACTTTATTCGGGCAGATGTGTTCACGTAGTGGCTTTCACGGGGAAGTGTAAATAAATCTGGATTGAAATTCAAAGAGACAGGATAGTCTATATGACCTGACGTTTTATTCGTATCCAAAATAAGGCGACGTGACCATCATGGAGCGCTAAACACTCGCCTGCAGTGTATGTAACAAAGTAAAGGAGATTTCTTACAAAATAAATCATAAGTTCTATCCTGCAAATCACTTACATGAAGAAATTCAAAAGAGATATTTCCTCCGGTTGCTCTTTTTGTGATGACTCTGTTGAAACTCTTGTTCATCTCTTTTGGAATTGTCCATTTACAAATACATTTTGGCAAGATGTTTTAGGTTTCGGAGTCAAATTTATAATGAATGTCCTGTTTTGGAAAGACGTAGTGCTGGGTTTTATGAACAGTCTAATAAAACACTGTTTATGTAGTGAATCTGATTTAGCTGATTCCACATTCACGGATGCAAATAAACAAACTCCAGACCTCTCTTTTTTTCATGAAAGAATTTAAGCAATACCTTTCATTGATCCAATTGTCTAAGAACAAAAAAGCTTTAAAAACTTAATCTGTTTATACTTCTTTTCCCATTTTTAATGGCATGTATGTCTTTTTTCCAGTTTGTAATGTAGGGGAGCGCGGGGCACAAAGTAACGTGGGGTAAATTGTAACACACGTGGTTTAAAGGGGTCATATGATGCGATTTCAAGTTTTCCTTTCTCTTTGGAGTGTTACAAGCTGATTGTGCATAGATAAGATCCCTGAAGTTGCAAAGACTAAAGTCTCAAAACCAAAGAGATATTCTTTATCAAAGTTAAGACTCTGCCACGCCCCCCTAAAACGGCTCGTTCTAACACGCCCCCACATATCTACCTCACTATGTGGGAATATTTGCATAATGTGCCCAAATGTGCACGCAAAGAAAGAAGGTGTGGTTTCAGTAACCGCAGTTAGTGTTGAAGCAGCCATGTCAGGGAGATGCTGTGTGTTTCTAGGAGAAAGCAAAAGCACTTTATTTGGCCTTCCGAACGTAGATGCATTTAGGAATCTTTAAGATTACTTACAACAGAACAGCAATGCATTTTATAGATGACCGTTTCGTGAACCTAGGAGAGGAAGTAATTCTGACTTTGCTATGACAATCCGGCGCTTCTGAATCAGCTACTGTTTTGTTATTAGTTCAAGTATTTGCTATCGAAATGGATGCTTCTGTATTGATACAGCAGCAAATGCCATTACACAGTTTTGAAAAAGAAACACAGAACAGAAAATATTATTTTAAGTTTAAAAGTTAAATAATTTTTTCTTTGCCCCTCTTAATTACTCTGGAATTATAAACTGAATTATATAATTGATATTATTATTATTATTATTGAGTTTACAGGGTATGGTGGTTTTGCTGTTGTAGAAAAATTAATATATTTAAAATAGAATTCTATTCTAATCCTGTTCTGAATATATACATTTTTGAATGATAATGATAATAAAAACAAGATTGATAAGTATAATTCGGAGGATGAGAAAATCAATATAAGCTTGTTTTACCAGTGTTGTGATAATTATTTTTAAGGCACTCTATGTTTTTTTAAATAAATACTGTAGTAATAATAATAGTTAGTCAGGTAACATAAAAAAGACAAGGCCCCTCGACGCCCTTTAAACTTTTTATGGACGACCGTTTCGTGAACCTAGGAGAGGAGGTAATTCTGACTTTGCTATGACAATCTGGCGCTTCTGAATCAGCTATTGTTTTGTTATTAGTTTAAGTATTTGCTATTGACTGTTCAAAGAGTGAGCGAGAGAGAGAGAGATTGCGAGAGAGAGAGAGAGATCGCGCGAGAGAGAGAGAGACAGAGAGAGAGAGAGGGGGTCACATCACAAACACATACCAGCTTCATCACTG